GATTTATAAAAAAAATGTTGTATGCTATATCCAGGATTGCTTAATTGGAAAAGTTTTAGTTTTACCATGCTATCAGATTGTGAATGGATTAATTGAAAAACTAATCGACAGATTAATCAATTTGCAAAATATTGCTTAGTTGCAGCCCTAGCAGATCTAGGGACTTGGTTTAGCTGAACATGTCATCTAATGAAAGGCAGCAGATGTAGTGGAAATGTAGAATTTTTGCTATGTTTATAAGGTTTTTGTTCATTCCAGTAAAATGATCAGACCGACTTCTCTTCCCACTGTGCCACATCCTCCCATCTGATTATCTGCAGGTGGTGAGAGTAACCGATGACCTCTTTTTTTCTTTCCGTTTAAAAGAACCAAACCTAAAGCTTCTCAGTCAGCTCTCTGTTGACTCTATTCATTCATTCCGGCACCTCCTACCTTCTGTTGCCATGATGTTAATGACCAGGTTGTGCCGTGCCGTCTCAAACGTGCGTCTGTTATAGGCAGTAATCTGCAACAAAGAGTGGTCAAAGTTTAAGCTGCGATCAGTATAACTTATATGGCTGCAGCTCGATGCAAAATATAATAATCTGTACTCAGCTGAGGCACCGTAAAAAGGCACATGAGCGTTGTCAACATGCTAAGCCTACTGAGAAAGGAATGTTAACTCTAGCTTACGGTTCCACAAAGACATGAGAAAATACAGAGAAGAATTCAGGTCTAAAAACCACATACAATTATGATCATACACCTGACAGGGTTTAGAGGAACATATTCCATTTAAAATGTTAAGCAAAGTTAATTATTCTCTATTGTCTATTTTTCTATGTTGTATTTTGTCAGGTTGCCACCAAATATTTGCTATTTTAAATTATGCAAAGTAGTTAATAATCATAAGAAGGGAGAAAGATTATTTATTGGTTTTAAAAAAGTAGAATCTGCAAATTAGGCCATTTTGCATTTAAATGCAGCCCCCTGGGTCAAAGACTGCACATCCATGTTTTGCTGCCAGTCTTGGATTTTTGCACTTTTGTTGAAAGTTGATCCCTTTAAAGTATGTTAATTACTGGCATTTATTTTATAGTATCATCTGCGAACTTTCCACTAAAAAGTTATAGATTTCAGAAACTTGAAACAGTTTTTGTTTAGTTTGATATAAGATTGATTTAGTTACCATAAGTGTAAGTTACTGCTCAGAAACTCAAAATTGAAACAGTTGTACACTTTAAAAAATGTTAAAAACTTAATTAATTCTGATAATTAAATTCTACTCGCTCCATATTGCTAGGAAAAAACATGAGAACTACTGTAGCTCTATATCTTGTTGTCATTTGATACATTTTTTAGCACTAAAATGTGCATTTCTTATATGTGGCAGGCTAAATATCACTTCAAATTAAAGTTGGAAAAAAGGTAAGCTATGATATTATTTCAGATTGTACTTTATCGGGATACAAAATATTTAAAAACATAGAATTTTGTGCATTTATTCAGACCTTATCAGGCTGTGACAGGTTTTCCTCCAAAATTTCCAAATAATTAGTTCAATTAATTTTGCTTTCAATTGTCAGGAGATTTTCTGTCTCTACTGCTTAAAATCAAAAAAGAAAACTCTGTCACAGCATGATGCTGCCACCACCGTATTTTACCCTAGCCATGGTCATGCAGTGTTCAAGCCTTTCTTTAGGTTTCTGTGTTTCCTCGCCTGCACTGATTGTGGCTAGCTCCACAGGATTTCATGTTGCTTTCTAACAATTCGCCTTACCACTCTACCATAAAGACCAGATTAGCAGAGTGATTAAATAACAGTTGTGGTCCTTACAGATCCTCCTACCAGAGCTGTCAATCTCTGCAGCTCCTCCAGAGATACCAGGGGCCTTTAGACTCCCCTTTGCTCCAGTCAGTCAGGTTTCATAATCTATCTCTGCTTTAAACTTTTCCTTTCTGCTGTGTACTTCCTTCATCACAATGATATTTGTTTAATGTTCTTTTGGGCAAATGTCAAGCATGCATTGATAGTTCACACCAGACACACCAAAATAATGTAAATCACTGTACATTTTTCACAAATATGTAGTCCATTATTTGATTCATTTATTAATATTAAATATCTTATATTTTTGTTAATTGAATCCCAGTTGTATTTGAAGCTCTAATAACAGAATTTGCCCGAATTCATGAACAACTGACCAGTAATTATGTACTTTAATTTTGTGGTGGCAAATTTACCAAGTTAATATTATAAATATATATAAGCCACACTTCTAAGTTTTAAATTATGTTAATTTTTTAAGTTTCTTAAAAAAAAAGGAAGGGTTTGTATAATTCCCCTTTAATTACAAACTACTTTGTGTTGGTCCATCACATGAATGTTTATGGAGATTAAAATAGTTGTTTTTGTTGTCGGTTTCTAACTGTAAACATAAGTGAGTGGGGTCCAATCACTCACCTCTATCACAGTGGGCTTTCCAACATGCTCTGCGGTAGGAGAACCATAGAGGACGCCGTCGCCGAGAGGAGTCCTCTGGATGTAGCGCAGCCAGCCTGGTCTGTCGGGGTAGCCTTTCAGGTTGGTGTTAAAGGTGATTGGATCATTGCTGGCATCACCTGGGGAGACGCCTGCTTAACAATTTGCCAGTTTCAAAATCAGAATTTAGACCCATTAGCTGAATAGAAGGCGTGTAACTGATTTAGCTCTCTGATTCTGGTCCCTATTGGTATTTTGAGGCATCTCTAGATCAGACCAACTATGAAAGTGCTTGGTTGTACCTGATTTGGGGTAAGGAGGAAACTCTCCTTTGAAGTGCTCTCTCTCCAGAACATGGACAAACAGAACTCCAGCAGATGGGTAGACGTTACGTTCTGCGTGGCATCTTGACAGGATGGTGATGACTGAAACACACATTTAAAAGAACATGGAGTTTGGTTCCTCAAAGCTGCTGAACATCTGGAGTTTACTGTCATTTAACATCCAGCACTACTTTAAAAAGGGAAGCACTTATACTTCTCTATATAAATGCATAACTATAAATAGAAAGGGGAACTAAGCGAAGACAACTGTTAAAAAGCAGGAGTAAAAAGTCATCCAGAGTGCGCTGGGTGGTTCTTTTATGCTTCAATTTCCACTTAAAGCAACACGTATTCTATATTAGTAAACAGCTTAAAGAAAGGATTATATTAGAAGAATTTTGATCATCCAAATGTTTGTTTTTCTCTTCTTCGGTTCAACTTTTAAACTTGTGTGTTTTGAGGTTTTTTTTTGGCACTTTTTTATATAATCTTACTTGTTTTGCTGCTCTGTACCACAGTAAGAGGGAAATCAATTTTTCATCACCATGGGAGTCTGAATGTGAAGGTAAGAAAGAGGAGGAGGAGGAAGGAGCTATGGGTAGGAGATATGCACCATGAAGGGAAAGGGAGAAGGCAGGTTTTAGCTGCTCTGGCCGGTTAAAAGATCAATACAGGATGCATTAAACAGCTGGAATAAAGCTAAAAAAAAATGCATTTGGATCCTTACTGGTGAGCTGCTCGGTATTTCAGGTTTCTATGCCGTAATAAAAAGTCCTCTGTAGATTAAAACTACAAATGTCAACCCGTGGAGCTTTTTCAAAAATGTATGAACATTTATTTGTTTATTTTAATGCGGTGTGCTGAAGGATGTTTTCCAATGCTGTAAACATTTGTGTAATAATGATGGATGTCAGTTCCTGCTTGGTTCCTCATGAATTAATCAACTCCTAACAGAAACACGTCCACCATAGAAAGATTATTTTATCGTGTTTCTATAATTTCATCGTTCACTTCTCCTCACCTCATGCTACTATGTGACATTTGCTCCAGGATAAACATTAAATCATGAATGCTTATTATATATTTAAGCCCACATACTCCTTTTTTATAGTGGGCTAATACACTTAGAGCCCATGTTGCCATACAAGGCTTATATAAGACTTTTACATTTTTGTGGCTCCAGACAGATTTGTTTTTTGGTCCAATGTGGCTCTTTGAGCAGTTGGGTTGCCAACCCCTGATATACATAATGCAAAATCACTTTTCTGTTTCAGATGCCTCTGATGCATCTTCTTGCATAATAAGAGTTTATATCCACAGAGAACCAAGAGACTGGAGTAAGATTAATGTAAACCTTGACAAGTTTTGGCACCCTTGGTAAAATATGTTAAAAGTCTTTGCAGAAATGAATCCTTTATCGCACCAACATTATCTCCTAAAAAGAATTTGAGTCCCTGGTCTTCTCCTATTTCTTTTTATCAGCTCAGACCATAACATTTGTAAATCTTTAAAGAGGGTTGATTCTGCAGCTGGTGAATCATTTCCCTGTTCCTTTTTCAACATCTTTGGCTCATTATCCTGCTGAAACATCCATTTTTTTCAAAGAATTCATAACCCCATGCATTCATTCCTGGGGACTAAGGAGGAGAAACAGACCCACAGCATCACAGATTCTCCAACATACCTAACAATTGCCATGTGGTGCTTTTTACACATCTTATTTTTATTTTTTTCTGTTTTTTATTAAACCACCCTGAATCATTACTCAAAAGTTACATATTAAAAGTAAATGGTACAAGTTTACGTCCCTGGAGAGTTTTCCAGAGTTTTTTTATTGGTTGCTTTTTTCTTGGAATACCAGCTGGCCTAGAATGTACTATATGTAATAGATGTTTAAGGAATCCAAGAGGCAACTTCTTGCTGTAGCTTTTGGGATATTTTAACTTCCTTGCCATCACTCTATCCATCCATGGTAACACGAAAAAAAAAAAATGTCATCTACCTCCGTTGCTTGGCACTAATTTGTTAAAGAAAAATATTCATGGCACAGCATTTTGCCATCAAATGACATATTTATTTAAATTTTTGTATTGATTTTCTTATATTTGAAAGGATAAAAATAACCTATTATTTATGTATCATTTTGATGCTTAAAAAAGTCAGAATGAAAAATACTCTCAACCCCCCTTGAAAAAGGTTCAGAAAATGCAGATTATAATCAACATTTACAATTCTAAAGAGCCTTGTTGCTGCCAGAAACACAGACGCTGACCTGGCCATATGTCCGGGGTCCCAGAGGGCCCGGTCCCAGCTTGATACAATCAATAATAGCATTTAACAGCCACTAAATCTGGTGATGCTGGAACAACCTGAGTCCACCATGTCTCTTTTTTGAAGGCAATGGCTGAGCATGAATAATCCACACAATAGCTCATCTGGCTGCAGCTACTGCGAACAAAACGTCAATCTCTGGGTTAGTTTAAGACCAAAAATAAAACCTCTTTTTATTTCACCCTATAAAGGCTGATTTTTTTTTTCACTCCAGTTCTATGATCTGAGCCTATGAGCCTCAGCAGCTTTCCAGGAAAGCAAAGGACCATTTTCAGACACTCAAAGGTCAAATACTAGCTCCGCCCTTAAAGCCAGGTTGATATGGTGTGAACATTTGTTATAGGTAAAGAAATGGGGCCCACATGGAAATAAAGGCCCAGAATAGGATAAAAAAAATAACCAATGATCCCATCAAACATCAATCTATCATTATACAGCAGTAACTTAGCAGAAACACACTCCAGAGTTGAGTCTCCTTTAGGCCGCGTTTCACCTCCACCCTTGTAAGCCAGCATAAATAAAGATCAGTCACTTAGTGTGACAGGAGAGCTGCTTATAGCCCTCAATCTGCTTATTTGTGCCTGGGCGACTCTGCCAGGCTTTCTCCAGATGATGAATCTCGGTTCTCCATCCAGGTGTATAATACATCACCGATTAAAGGTTAATGCTAAACTGCACACTCCTGCATCTGCTGACTTTCCTCTGGGAAAAATGACAGACAGGACAAACTGGATGATACTTTAAATATGCCACAAATCCTCCCAGAAAACATAAAAAAATAAATAAATAAATCTGTTCCCTAAATAATTATGAAAAATCTTTTCATAAATCAGCTCAGAGGTTTAGAAAACGTTGCATGTGGCAGTGATATAACTTGGTAACAGAGCTGGAGAGCGGTGGAAATGGCTAACCAGATTTTATGCATTTCTTTGCTGACCTTGGAACAGATCACGGGAGGCCTCTCAGAAACTCTGAGCTACCATAACAGTTTTATCCAGCAGAGGTAGAGCCAAGGCGGTGCGTGTCCCTCTGAGCCTCATATGCACATTTCTTCCAGGTCAGGAGGAATTCATGTGCTTTCTTGGTGGTTGGCAAGAAAGCAGAAACAGCTAGGATTGTGACTCTTTGTGTCCGGCCATTCTGCCTCTGATGAGTCTAAACTTGTTATTCTGCAGTCACACATGGAAGTGAAAGTAGCTACTGTCGCAACATGAACTAGAGGACTAAGGACAACAGTGGACACAAAGCAACAAGACTCATCACCAAGAACTCTAAAAAGGTAAAACCTATTTTCTAAAACAATAAAATATTCTGTATCATTTGGGGGGAGGAGTAAAAGCTGGAGGTATAACTGTTGTAGAAAATATCTTATATTTTTCTGTCAGGCAGAATTAGGATAAAATTTCTCAGGAACAAGATCTAAATGTAGTAAGCTGCTGTTAGGGCAAAAGAGCAAAAGGGAAAGAAAGCAGGTACAAATAATAATGCTGCTGGTAAAAGCGGAGCCGGTTGATCTTGTCACTGTGTTATGATGGGGAGGGAGGAGACAGCGGGTCAGCGTCTTAAGCGCACCACCGCACAAACCCACTCACCGTCTTTGTTTAAGGTTCTTCTTTGCAGCAAAGCCATGGCCTGCTCCGAAACGACTTTTCTCTCATGAAAATCACTGAGTGTTTCATCATGGGCATGCACAACGTGAACAACTGGATCAATAAATAAGAAGCATGCATAAAACAAGGGGGCTTTTCAGTAGATTTCTGGAACAATCCCCTTTCCCACCTACACATAATAGCTGGCAAAATGAAGAAAAAAAGCAGTTTCACACAACAAACCATGAATTGTGCTCACTCTAAACGTTTTTCTCCCACACGGTTTACGTTTGATCACTGCTGCACTTTATGGAATGGAAATGTTCTGAAAGCTGCACAAAACGAAATTTCGTTTTATACAGCTTTCAGTACAGCTCTGTGTATACAAAAAAAAAAACAATAAAAGTTGTCCAAGTCTAAGATTTCCCAGCATAAGTAATAGTGATTTTCTGTTGTTATGGTTAAATTTCTTGATACTCGGGTACATTTAAATGGACAAAATGATAGCAGCAAAAATGCAACTAAATCACAGCAGTTTACATCTAAAAATGTTTTTTAAACAGAACATCCATGTTTCTGGGTTTTTTTTTCTGTAATACATTCCATGGGTTGGAGCATGGACACAGCCAGTGTTTACAGTTAGGGGCTTAGTCTCTTACAAAATGTAAATCATCTTTTTTTCAACTTTCAGTTTTAGGCTATTCTGGGTGTAGCCTGAGGTCTTGTTTTGTGCTAGAAACAGTGAGTTTTTGAGTCCATACTGGACCTTTAACTGGACTGTAGTTAACCAGAAAGATGTCACTAAAATCCGGTAAAGGCATGAAACACAACCTGACTGTGTTTCATTTCTGAGATCCTACACCCTTATGGTTTAATATATAAGCTCACTAACCAGGCTAACTTCTATTACCAATACAAGCCACTAATGTATTCACTTGTACTTTGCCCTTAAAAATGACATACTGTGGCTAACAGGTGCAAATGGGAAGGAAACAACAAAATGAGGTGCAAAAACTTGTGTAATGCGCAAACACAAGAAAAAAACGCAACAGGAAAACACTGAAAACCGAACAAAAAATGCTGCAATCACAGGAAAAAAAATGATACAAATAGTAAAAACAGCAGCAAATTTTTTCCACTAAACAGAAGTTCCTCAGATTACCAGTGTTATTTATTCATATATATATATATATATATATATATATATATATATATATATATATATATATATGTTACTATATAAAACTTTGACAATATTCTGTTATACTCTAAGACTATGTGTTTTAAAATGAAATGAATGATATTAAACTTCTCCTTTCTTCCTCCAACCATTTTAAATACCATGCATTAAAGCTAGACTTCCTGTTGGTACGGAGGATCTGGTTTGTTCTTTATTTGCTAACCACCGTAAAAAAAGACGAACAAAATATTTATGTGGAAGAGATAAATATTTTTATGCAGTTATTACTAACTATTTCACTAAATATTACAGGTAAAGCAAGTTAGCTGGTTTTGAGGTTGGTGGGAACTGATAACTTTTCCACTCAAAAGTTTTTAGCTTTCAGCACCTGTATGATAAACTAGGAGCTTTTAACACACACACATTAATATTTTATAGAATATTAACTTGCTCCTCTCTTTTGTTTATAATCTATCACTTGGCAGCAACCCAGAGATCCTTTAAGCTATTTAAGTCAGGTGAGTTTGATTGCCAATTACCCGCAGTAAAAAAATCATTACAGAAGGTATTGGTACTCTTGACATCACGGAGAGGTCTAAAGTTCAGCTACAGTATAAGATCAGCCTCTCTCTGCTCATAGAGAGAAATATAAAATGCTCTAAAACTTTCTGATACTGTCTTGAGTACTGTGGTTGCATTAGCTACATATCATAGAGTGGCCTGCTGAGATAAATGCCGCTCTGCAGATGACAGGAACAGACTGAATACACCGGACCTTAAGGCCAGCTCTATCGTAGGGTTTCTCCTATATACTGTGGAGGTGGTACGAGGGAGAAGAATGGTTGATTTTATATCCTTCAAGATTTATAAAGCATTTTTAACTACACTGAAACTCTTCTCTGTATCTGTTGTGGATAGTTGTTTTAGAGGGAGCTTGTGGAGAACCAGATGCATGAGGGAGCTGTTTCATCAATCTCTTCTTCACCCAGATACCAGGTTACTGTCACGGTCTTGGTTCTGTTATGTTTTACTTTGCTCCATGTTTTCTAGTTTTATTGGTTTAATTCCTACTTTGTTGTATTTTCTGGATATATTTGAGTTCTTAGGTTTTTGTTCGTTGCCCACTGTTACCCTCTTGTGTTGGTCTCTTTTTCCATAGCTGCTTCTTAGGCTGCTCTCTTCACACCTGCTCCCAATCAGCTCGTTAGTCCTCTCTTTGTTAAGTCTACCATAAATACTCTCCTTGTGCAGTTCCTTAGTGCTGGTTCCTCGTCTTACCCTGGCTCCTCATGATCGTTTTCCCCTGATGTCTCCACGGTTCTGGTTTGTTTTACATTTTTCATGTTGAATTTTTGGATTCCTTCCTCAGTTGTTTGTGAACATTCAATTAAATTTTCAAGAAACTCACCTCTGCCTCCCTGCCTCTGCATTTGGGTCCAAAAACCACAACCAAACTTTGACAGTTACATAATAGTCCTAAATAACAACAGCCCAGCTCTTTAGTCTTGACAAAAACAGCAGCACCAGACTGGTGCAGTTTAGGCATTAATCTTCTTAGCTGAGGTGAAAATCTTCTAACATTTTATCTTGTTCAGGTGATGCGACTGCCTAGAAACAGACTCCAGCTGAAGTTTGCAATTCCCTTAATACCTTGGCAATTTATCGTATTTAAAAGCATTTTTTGACATAAGTTTTCCCTCCGCTTAACTTTCTATTGCTTGAAAAGCGCACTCTCTGCACCGCCCAAATCTTTAGTAGTTACCTTTTACGACTATAGAGTACACTGAAAAAAAAAAAACAATGCAACCATTTTTGGCATTTACTTAATCATATTTAGTTAATTTAACACAATTGTTTCATGTTAGCAGGATAGGACATAAAACAATTGTGTTGTGCAGTAGCATTATTTTTTTCAGTGAACGATTATGTATTTAAATAATTTCTAATGGTTTTAAGGAATATTCTTATTTTGTAAAAAACTTTAAATGTCCAAGCCTTAATCAACAATATTAGATAGTCTATAAGTAGATTAATGAGTTTTAGATTTTAAAGGAAATAGGAAATAAATGTTCTTTCTGGTAATATCCTAATTAACTAAAAAGAAAACTCTAGACAGCGTAACTCATAATAACTGCATATGCAGAAAAGAAACGTAAACACCTGATTTCCATTTAAAAATGATGGCTGGGAAAACAAAGTAGAACCGTTATTATTAGCTTTATAAAAGTATCTACATGTTGTTCATCAAATAACATTTATAACATTTTAAATGAGTTTTTAGCAGTGCTGTGACACATTAAGTCCTGGTTTAACGGTCTCTCTGTCAGCTGGTAGCCATTTTTTCCACGTCTCCTCCTCAGCCTTCTGGAAAAAATGAGCGAAGCAGCTAAAACAGCAGCAGGCTAACTAGCATGCTAACTAGCCTCGCCGCCGCCAAAGCGCATAATGTCAGGGTTAAATCGATACGTACCCGCTCCGAGCAACACCGCGACAGCTGCGGCGGACATGGCGTTAATCCTCCGCTTCAACCTCGCATGAAACCAGCTGGTTCTTTATCCCGTCTTCAGTGGGGGTTTGACAGCCATAACAATGAGCATCCCGCAGCATTCTTCCCTCCGCCTCCTTTCTCCGCTGGAATCAGCGTTGCTTCTGATTGGCTGAACATCTGGTTGGGAAAAAAAGATGGTTGCCGTGTTTTAGACGCGGAGTAACAACATATTATTCGATGAAAATTGCTTGAACACCCTTAGGGAGAGTTAAATTTTTTTCTAGCTGGTGTTTAATGACCTATCCCTCTATTGCACATTTGTTTGGGGGGGTGGACACCCTGAAATTACCTCCAAAGTCACAAAAGGTCATCTAAAAGGAAAGCCTACCACCTCCATCACAGCTTGACCCCCCATGCACAGCTGTGGGGGCAGAGGCTTATTTTGAAAGTCTGCTCCAGTCTTTCCAAACCTCCTGCAGTGGTCGTGTTAGCAGACAGATGGTCGTGTTTGGGCCCTGCTGGCTGCCAGTCATGGTTTGCTAAAGTGCTTTGGGACCCTTAATTTACCCCAAATGCTCCCCTGTTGTCAGCCGCAGTGATCAGTGTAAAATTTTCTATTTGATAATGTCTTATTAGATCAAAAACCTCTTGCTTTCACTGCAGCGATAAACACCATGCCATAGATGCCCTGTACTCTGCAGTGCTTAGCTGTTTTCCTCCCATCTATCCCTGGAAGATTATTTTTAGGTTGCTTAGCAACAACTTCCATGGCCTGTGTTTGGACAAGTATGAATGCATCACAAGAATCGTATCTGTCAAGGCAGTGTGACACAGCCTTTAAGGGGGAAAACTGCACACGGCAAAAGCAATCTAGAAATAAGTAAACATTTCTTAAGTTAAGTGTATTTCCCCTTAATTGAGCAGGTAAATAAGATGATTTGCCAATAGAATGAGTAGTTTTGCTCTTAATAATTAGATAATATGCACTTGAAATAAGACAATGTAATTGTTTTTTTCTTATT